AGGCTATGGCATTCATTTTCCCCTTTTCTGCCTATATTTCATTACATTCGCCCCCTACTTTTAAAAAAAAATGCTTCTTATCTGCATTTTAATCTCTACAAACTACTCTAGTTATACCCGCTACCTAACTAGACCTTATATGAACATCTAGCCCCGTAATGAAAGCATACATCATAACATGTAACATAATACAATTCATGCAGTATAAGGAAAACGTGACATTCATACAATAACTAATAGTCAATAATTTGAAAGACGTAAAATAAACGATACAACTCCCTCGTTGTATTAGCATAACAACCTCTGATTCACTGGTATCCCTAATGAATGTGCGGAGTTGTCTGAAGTATAAAGGAATAGTATTTGTATTCCCACTTTATAAATTCAAACCTGATACTTTTTCATGTAAGGTGATGTTTCATAATCACATCGACAACGGTTACTGAACATCTATACGATTACTAGTTAGATAAAATAAAATGATAAACATTGTAATATATTGAAAATAGTTCATATATATATATATATATATATATATATATATATATATATATATATATATATATATATATATATATATACATACAACAAGAAATGACATGCCGTGTATCCCCAGTTATCAATAAAGTAAAACTCGAAAATGTCATCTCCCCAAGAAAGAATGAAAATAGAACCTCTGAGAAAGTCAACATAGACTGAATAATGAAGTATAACCTTTACAGAGTATAAATAATTCTTATACCGTTAGGTATACTAACTGGAGAGAATATCTCAGAAACGAACCGTAGCATTTCTTCAAGTTGAATGTGCAATGCTACCTCCTGCATTTACAGTTATTTATCTACTGTGAGAGTCAACAGCGTTTATTGGCGCTTCCTTAAGAGGTTGCTTCCTCTGTTTAATGCATATCGCATCTTCAGTAATGAAATAGCCGGCGTGTATTTACTTACAAATCATGTCATGCTTTGGACTGGCTTATCACCAAGTACGTTTCTAACTGCGTACCTCCGTAAAGTCTGGTTAAACATGATAATCTTCTCTAATGACTCAAATCAGTCATGTTTCTGGCAGAATGTATAAGAGAGGTTTTGTGGCCATTAACTCTCTTAGCGAACATAAATTATGTAGGTATTGTAATCTTTACCCGCAACCGAACGTGTGGATTTTCACTTGTCCGGGAGAGTACAACACGATTAAACAACGTTCATAGTGCAAAACAAAAAGTAAATATTAAATGGTAGGGACAAAACAACAGGTATATATTTAATATTTTTGGACAAATGACATGTAGACACAACAACAGAATGTGTATAGTGAGCGCGTTACCTCTGTACACAGCAATAGAGCGTACGTAAATTATAATTCATAACACACGATTTACGTGTTATTCACCCTACATTCCAACATTTATTGAACCATTTTACGAGTGATCCCATTTCAGTCAGTCATGGGGGAGCTATTTGTCAGCCTTTATGCCCATTAGACTCGATATAAATGAAAGACATTAAAGAATTGGTTATCTTCTACTGGTTCAGTTATAATATCTGTCATTTGTGTCTCGTCAGTCCTACAGCTTCTGTGGATTTCTACCGGTCCAGGTTCAGTATTACCACCTTTGCTTTTACAGACTCTTCCTTCTTCTGTTAGTTTGTCTTTCCCTACGTCTCTGTGTGTCTGTAAAACTATTTCCTCTTTTAGATCTGTACGTCTCTTTTTAATTTCAGAAATTCCTGTTTCATGTTTTTTCCTTTTGTTAGGCGCAGTTTCTACTGTTTCTTCTTCTTCTTTTCTACGATTGCATATACCGTTAACTAGTACTTCTTACGGTTTTAATTCTTTCACAGTAGACGGAGTATCCGTTTTGGTTCGAACAGCGACTAAAAATCTATGACCTTCTTTCTTAGTCATCCCAAACTCATCATCTGCGTCGTAATTTTCAGAGAATAAATCTATCTTTATGTTACTAACTACAAACGGTAATGTGTTTATTTCTTCACCTTCTTCTTCTGTAGGCATCACCTATGCACCACCCAATACCTGCTGGTGGATTGTTTCCTTAAGTGTTCTTACCCTGTCTACTTCCTTCTGTGCGCTACTACGATCTAGTCCTTTTACTTCTACCGCGTTTACTTCCCATAACCATTCCAGTGCTAAAAAACCCTCATTATCTTTTTCTTTTTCCGACTTAACGTTAGCCGGTATTAACTCTTTATGTGTCTCTATGTTCCCTTCTTCTTTAAAGTATTGACCGTGTGTCCCGTTTACAGTTACAGCATTTACTTCGTTAATGTAGCTTTTTTTAAACCGTTTCATGGGATTCCTCCTTTTTAACCCTCCTAACCTGTATTCACTACTTTGTATGGGGTATGACCTGTTTTTAGAAATACTGCCTAATGCCTGGAAATCGTTTTGCCGCTCATATATATATTATCTTTCCTTCTAACCTGCTCTCTGGGTATCTTCCACTGGGGCCTGTATTTAGTTAACAATCTGTTTTTTTAACATTTCTTCTAACTTCTTTGTCTCATCATTAGCAGCGCACATGTTTTGGTTACCTGCCTGCCCCAATCTGTCACAGTGACTGAACGGATTATTTCCGAAGTTTTGTAATCTTATATTCTTATTATATCCTAATTTGCTTAACCTGTCTCTTTTGAATCTGTTGGCTTGATTATGCGTCTTACCGTGGGCCCTGTAATCTTGATTAGTGCTCATCGTGCTAAATCTGGAATCTGGATTACATGACCTAACTCGACCTCGGTTATTCTCGGGGATATTTACTACTCTATACATGTTCTGATATCTGTTACCATCATTTTGCCACCGCTCCTGGGTTCTGAAATTTCTATTATTTTCTAATTTTTGTAACCTGTCTGCTCTGTTGAAATTAATAATTTGCCCACTTCCATTTTTTACACATGACCTCATTTGACCCTGATTGTCATGGTATGGTTTCGGTCTCTGTGGTCTGAAACTCTGCTTATCTATAGGGTAGTGTGATCTCTCGTTATCATAATTTCGCCTACCTGGAAAACCCCGAACAGTCGATTAACCTCGACGTTACTTCTAGTTACTGTTGCTATGTTATAACTTCTTTCTCTCTGTCTTTGTCTACGACTATCTACAGTTGACCAATGCTGAGCAGTTTTTTGGTTCAAAAAAAAAAAAAATGGAATACGAAGTTTTCTACCTAACTGTGCTACTTCATTAAAAACTCTGCTAAACTGTGCTGCCACTGTTCCTTGATGGGCCATTTTAAAAACCTGGGAAATTAACTAATGTAAACTATAATAAAATGTAAAATAAATGATGTCAAATTACCTTGTTGAGAGAAAGAAAACAAAATTCTTTTTTTCACAACACAACACAGATAACACTGTAATTAAAATCGGCACTGTCCTGGAATGATTTTCTAAGTTTAGGAAAGGCAGGGGAAGGCAGAAAGGTTTCTCCCAACACCACTGTAAATTAAAAATCACAATATATTTAAACTAATTAATATTAATGTTCAAGGTTCTTTAAAATCGCACTTATTTTGCAGTTCCTATTTGTAAAATCGGACAGCTCACAGTTCTTATATTTCTAGAATCGGACAGCTCACAGTTCTTATATTTCTAGAATCGGACAGCTCACAGTTCTTATATTTCTAGAATCGGACAGCTCACAGTTCTTATATTTCTAGAATCTGACGGCTCACAGTTCTGATATTCCTAGAATCGGACAGCTCACAGTTCTTGACTTTCATATAGTCTTCCGAGTGTGTAAAGTTTGTGAAAGTATATATTATGGCTCCAGGCTAGAACGGGCTCGTCTCCTTGGATTCTAGTGTAGACGGTTGGCTCCAGGCTAGAACGGGCTTGTCTCCCCGGATTCTAGTGTAGACGGTACGCGTTGAAGACTGGAATTAAACTCATCTCGCTCGGATCCAGTCGTAGAACGGTCCCCGTTGTTACCTCAAATTGGGTATCATCTCACCCGGATTGAGTCGTTGAATGGTGCAGGCTGTTGGTCTGCTTCACGTCTCTCTATTCTGATGAAAGGTTTTTTGATTTTTCTGCTGTGTTGTATAATATGTTGATATGTTCAACTGTCCTAAAATATCATCAGTGACTGGCAGAGGATAGGAACTGTTCTTAGTTGTCTGGTTCAGTGCTTAATAGTCACAAGAAAATCTGCGAAAGCCATCCTTCTTGACAATAACAATGTGGGTGATGACCATATTCCTGCTTTCAGCATGTCTTCCATCGCTTGCTTTCTAAACTATTTCTTTTCTTTAGTGCAGTTGTGTATGGTTTCAAACTGAATGGTTCATCATCTCCTATGTCTATTTTTATTTGTGTAGTTTCTGTTCTTCCTAACTCTTTGTTGTTTAAGGCAAAAACATCATAATGTTTCACCACAAATCTCTCTAGTGTTGACTTTTGTAGGAGCAGAGTGTTTAGGTTAGTGGCATTTAGAGTAGTCTGTATGTAGGGTTGAGACTGCTGTGAGAAAATACTTATGTAACCAACATAATAGAATGTTTATGGTGGCAGACTGGGTGATCAGACTGGGTGATCAGACTGAAAGAGTGAGTATGTAGTGGCAGCTTATAAGAGTGGAATGTGTAGTGGCACAGACTGAAAGAGTGGAATGTGTGGTGGCAGACTAGGTCAAACTGACACAGTTAAGTGTATGATGGCAGACTGGGTCAAACTGACACAGTGGGGTAGGCCCTATGTGGTTTCAGACTGGGCCAAACTGTCGATTTCAGCTCATTAGATTTATTTAAATAGAAAACATGATGGTGAAAAAATAGAACAGGAACCTGAAGATAATGACAGGAGGGTGTGGATAGAAAAGGGAGGGGGGGGGGGGGGTGGTGAGGGTAGGGAGAGAGATAGACATAAAATAAAAAATAGAGAGAAAAGAAAAAGCAAGGACTTGAAAGCAGACAAATAAGGAGTATGAGAAAGAGCAGAGAAAGGGCCAAATCAAACAATGCTGCGTGTGAATTTCAGAGAAAGAAACAAGATGACCAAAAACCGCTGGAAGACAAGATCAGGTCACTGAAGAAGCGCAATGTAGAACTGGCAGCTATTGCACGGAGACTGGAGGAGAAGGCTAAAGCTCTGCAGCACGAGAACACCAGGGCCAAATCTGTGAGTCTGTTGTGTCATGTTACTTCTGTCTATTGTCTGATAGTTAGTCACACAATCAATCTCATCGTCAAGTGATGTCTGGTTGACCCGGCAGCTAGCAGACTTGATGTCAACTTGGATTTTTCCTCTGTCAGTTCTAGGGCCTCATTTTGGGGAGAACATAATCCCCCCTCCCACTCCCATCCCCACCTGCCTCTCAAGCATGGCTTAGAAGTCACCTCAGCAGAGATGTTTCCTTCCAAATCAGAGTGAATGTGTGAACCAAGAGTCTGCAGACATACAAGCCATATCTGTCAAATGGTTGTGGACACATAACTCAAGTTCTGGAACAAGACCAAAGTCCGCAAGTGGATGAACAAGCAGAACTTTCAGCTGGAATTCACAGACGGGTAAATGTGAAGATGAACAAGCAGAACTTTCAGCTGGAATTCACAGACCGGTAAATGTGAAGATGAACAAGCAGAACTTTCAGCTGGAATTCACAGACCGGTAAATGTAAAGATGAACAAGCAGAACTTTCAGCTGGAATTCACAGACGGGTAAATGTGAAGATGAACAAGCAGAACTTTCAGCTGGAATTCACAGACCGGTAAATGTAAAGATGAACAAGCAGAACTTTCAGCTGGAATTCACAGACGGGTAAATGTGAAGATGAACAAGCAGAACTTTCAGCTGGAATTCACAGACCGGTAAATGTAAAGATGAACAAGCAGAACTTTCAGCTGGAATTCACAGTCGGGTAAATGTGAAGATGAACAAGCAGAACTTTCAGCTGGAATTCACAGACGGGTAAATGTGAAGATGAACAAGCAGAACTTTCAGCTGGAATTCACAGACGGGTAAATGTAAAGATGAACAAGTAGAACTTTCAGCTGGAATTCACAGACGGGTAAATGTAAAGATGAACAAGCAGAACTTTCAGCTGCAATTCACAGATGGGTAAATGTAAAGATGAACAAGCAGAACTTTCAGCTGGAATTCACAGACGGGTAAATGTAAAGATGAACAAGCAGAACTTTCAGCTGGGATTCACAGATGGGTAAATGTAAAGATGAACAAGCAGAACTTTCAGCTGGAATTCACAGACGGGTAAATGTGAAGATGAACTAGCAGAACTTTCAGCTGGAATTCACAGACGGGTAAATGTAAAGATGAACAAGCAGAACTTTCAGCTGCAATTCACAGATGGGTAAATGTGAAGATGAACAAGCAGAACTTTCAGCTGCAATTCACAGACGGGTAAATGTGAAGATGAACAAGCAGAACTTTCAGCTAAAATTCACAGATGGGTAAATGTGAAGAAGAAGAAGAATGGAAGCAGTATGTTTAGATCCTCCCTGAGATGGTTTTCTCAAATTGATCTGACTGCCAAGTTAGCCAGCTAAAGAAACAACTACTGGGACATGTTATGGGAAACCAAGATGGTGGGCATGATAGTGACTACAGCACCAACCCAGTGCCATCTGGTCTATAGGTATATGCAGCACTATTTACCCACACCTCTTCAAGCCTACCTGAAACACCTTAGTTCACACCTGCCTTTTCCAGAATTAAGTTCTTTCCACAGCACACAGATTCAAGCCCATAATAGTCTAGCATCCTTCTCTACCAAAAGCACAAGAGTTCCCTTTCCTCCGCTCTTTGAGCACAAGAGGACCTACCCTACCTCCCCCCCCCCACCCCCTCCTTCTCTCGCATCTGTTTATTGCTTCTTTTTGACGTGGCTGTTTATCAGCTCTCTTGACTTGTCCATTGAACTTCTAGTCATGGTTTGTATTGAATTTGGTACTTAGTGTCCTTCTCATTTGAATAGTCATCATAAGTAACCTAATGTTTGCATCTACTCAGATTTAAAATCATAATTAACCTGATTTTAGTGTCCAATCAGACTTAAAATTATAAGTAACCTGATGTTAGTGTCCAATAAGATATAAAATCATTAGTAACCTGATGTTACTGTCAAATAAGATATAAAACCATAAGTAACCTGTTGTTACTGTCCAAAAAAGATATAAAATCATTAGTAACCTGATGTTAGTGTCCAATAAGATATAAAATTATAAGTAACCTGATGTTACTGTCCAATAAGATAAAATTATAAGTAATTTTATGTTAGTGTCCAATAAGATATAAAATCATCAGTAACCTGAATTCAGTGTCCAGTCAGATATAAAATCATTAGTAACCTCATGTTACTGTCCAGTCATATATAAAATCATCAGTAACCTGATGTTAGTGTCCAGTCATATATAAAATCATCAGTAACCTGATGTTAGTGTCCAGTCATATATAAAATCATCAGTAACCTGATGTTAGTGTCCAGTCAGATAAAAAATCATTAGTAACCTGATGTTAGTGTCCAGTCAGATATAAAATGATAAGTAACCTGATGTTACTGTCCAGTCATATATAAAATCATCAGTAACCTGACGTTAGTGACCAGTCAGATATAAAATCATTAGTAAGCTGATGTTAGTGTCCAGTCAGATATAAAATCATAAGTAACCTGATGTTACTGTCCAGTCATATATAAAATCATCAGTAACCTGATGTTAGTGTCCAGTCAGATGTAAAACTAACCTAAAAGTCTTGTGTTCACCAGAAAAGCACCACCCCACTGTTTCATGACGAGTCAGGCCCCGAAGTCGAACACCTCAAGCGGGTGCTGGCCCGCCAGCGAGCCAAGGACCTCTCTGAACATGCTAAAAGCATGCTGGCCAAAGATAAAGAGATTGAGGATCTTCGGAGAAAATGCCAGGAGCTGGCCGACCTTCTTTGTAATGGGGACATAATGTCGCCTCAGGTAATTCACTCTGTTGTGACAGCGACATTATACGTTAATGCACATATTGACTTGTTAGAACATATGCCTACACAGCTTCTGAAGGGAGGGTTGGGGGTGGGAAGAGAGAGAGAGAGAGAGAGAGAGAGAGAGAGAGAGAGAGAGAGAGAGAGAGAGAGAGAGATAGTTCATTTCCTGGACTCTAAACAAACAAGTTTATCATAAACATAAACTAGCGTATCTGGCATTTTAACTCAAAAATGGCTCCAAGACACCAACCTTTAGCAGTAAGTGTGGATTGGGACAAGAAACAAGACCCACCTGCTACCACACAGTAGGTAAGCATACAGCGGTGTGGGGTGGGTAGTTTAGGATAAGAAACATGACCCACCTGGGACCGCGCCCTAGGCATGTAAATGGGGTAGGGTGTGAGTTAGGACAAGAAACATGACCTACTTGGGATCAGACAGTAGACGTGTAAATGGGAGTGGGAACAAGCAAGTTAGGACAAGATACATAACCCAGCTGCGGCCAGACAGTAGACTTATACATGTGTCAACTCTAGGCTCATACTGGATGTTGTGACCTCCATAAGAAATCTCAAACTCTAGGCTCATACTGGATGTTGTGACCTCCATAAGATGCCTCAAACTCTAGGCTCAAACTGGATGTTGTGACCTCCATAAGATGTCTCAAACTCTAGGCTCATACTGGATGTTGTGACCTCCATAAGATGTCTCAAACTCTAGGCTCATACTGGATGTTGTGACCTCCATGAACTGACTCCAGCTCTAGGCTAATACTAGATGTGAATCTAACCTACTTCCTTGTCGCCTCCAGAATGCTGTACAGTTTGAAGAGAAAGTGGAATTGGTGCACATCATCAAACAAGCTGCCAAGGAAAGGCTGCAGCTGGAACAGCAGCTGGCCCATATCAGGACAAAGGAGGTGAGTAGCCTCACTGTTGTCATTGTCATACAGAATGTAACCAGCTGGTGGGTAGCCTCACTGTAGTCATTGTCATACAGAATGTAACCAGCTGGTGGGTAGCCTCACTGTTGTCATTGTCATACAGAATGTAACCAGCTGGTGGGTAGCCTCACTGTTGTCATTGTCATACAGAATGTAACCAGCTGGTGGGTAGCCTCACTGTTGTCATTGTCATACAGAATGTAAGCAGCTGGTGGGTAGCCCCACTGTTGTCATTGTCATACAGAATGTAACCAGCTGGTGAGTAGCCTCACTGTTGTCATTGTCATACAGAATGTAACCAGCTGGTGGGTAGCCTCACTGTTGTCATTGTCATACAGAATGTAACCAGCTGGTGGGTAGCCTCACTGTAGTCATTGTCATACAGAATGTAACCAGCTGGTGGGTAGCCTCACTGTTGTCATTGTCATACAGAATGTAACCAGCTGGTGGGTAGCCTCACTGTTGTCATTGTCATACAGAATGTAACCAGCTGGTGGGTAGCCTCACTGTTGTCATTGTCATACAGAATGTAAGCAGCTGGTGGGTAGCCCCACTGTTGTCATTGTCATACAGAATGTAACCAGCTGGTGAGTAGCCTCACTGTTGTCATTGTCATACAGAATGTAACCAGCTGGTGGGTAGCCTCACTGTTGTCATTGTCATACAGAATGTAAGCAGCTGGTAGGTAGCCTCACTGTTGTCATTGTCATACAGAATGTAAGCAGCTGGTAGGTAGCCTCACTGTTGTCATTGTCATACAGAATGTAACCAGCTGGTGGGTAGCCTCACTGTTGTCATTGTCATACAGAATGTAACCAGCTGTTGAGTAGCCTCACTGTTGTCATTGTCTTACAGAATGTAACCAGCTGGTGAGTAGCCTCACTGTTGTCATTGTCATACAGAATGTAACCAGCTGGTGAGTAGCCTCACTGTTGTCATTGTCATACAGAATGTAAGCAGCTGATGGGTAGCCTCACTGTAGTCATTGTCATACAGAATGTAACCAGCTGGTGGGTAGCCTCACTGTTGTCATTGTCTTACAGAATGTAACCAGCTGGTGAGTAGCCTCACTGTTGTCATTGTCATACAGAATGTAACCAGCTGATGGGTAGCCTCACTGTAGTCATTGTCATACAGAATGTAACCAGCTGGTGGGTAGCCTCACTGTAGTCATTGTCATACAGAATGTAACTAGCTGGTGGGTAGTCTCACTGTTGTCATTGTCATACAGAATGTAACCAGCTGGTGAGTAGCCTCACTGTTGTCATTGTCATACAGAATGTAACCAGCTGGTGAGTAGCCTCACTGTAGTCATTTGTGATCCTGCAGAGTTGGTTGTGGATTTCTTGGGAGACTGACCAGTGGCTGTTGAAGTCAATTTAACTGACATTCAGTTTGTCCAAGTGTAGTGACATTCTCTTTGTCCAAGTGTACTGACATTCTCTTTGTCCAAGTGTACTGACATTCAGTTTGTCCAAGTGTACTGACATTCTCTTTGTCCAAGTGTACTGACATTCAGTTTGTCCAAGTGTACTGACATTCTCTTTGTCCAAGTGTACTGACATTCTCTTTGTCCAAGTGTACTAAAATTCTCTTTGTCCAAGTGTACTGACATTCAGTTTGTCCAAGTGTACTGACATTCTCTTTGTCCAAGTGAACTGACATTCAGTTTGTCCAAGTGAACTGACATTTAGTTTGTCCAAGTGTACTGACATTCAGTTTGTCCAAGTGTACCAACATTCTCTTTGTCCAAGTGTACTGACATTCTCTTTGTCCAAGTGTACTGACATTCAGTTTGTCCAAGTGTACTGACATTCAGTTTGTCCAAGTGTAGCGACATTCTCTTTGTCTAAGTGTACTGACATTCTCTTTGTCTAAGTGTACTGACATTCTCTTTGTCTAAGTGTATTGACACTCTCTTTGTCCAAGTGTATTGACACTCTCTTTGTCCAAGTGTAGTGACACTCTCTTTGTCCAAGTGTAGTAACATTCTCTTTGTCCAAGTGTATTGACACTCTCTTTGTCTAAGTGTATTGACACTCTCTTTGTCCAAGTGTACTGACATTCTCTTTGTCTAAGTGTATTGACACTCTCTTTGTCCAAGTGTATTGACACTCTCTTTGTCCAAGTGTAGTGACACTCTCTTTGTCCAAGTGTAGTAACATTCTCTTTGTCCAAGTGTATTGACACTCTCTTTGTCCAAGTGTAGTGCCATTCTCTTTGTCTAAGTGTACTGAAATTCTCTTTGTTCAAGTGTACTGACATTCTCTTTGTCCAAGTGTAGTGACATTCTCTTTGTCCAAGTGTAGTAACATTCTCTTTGTCCAAATGTAGTGACATTCTCTTTGTCCAAGTGTAGTGACATTCTCTTTGTCCAAGTGTAGTGACATTCTCTTTGTCCAAGTGTAGTGACATTCTCTTTGTCCAAGTGTAGTAACATTCTCTTTGTTCAAGTGTAGTGACATTCTCTTTGTTCAAGTGTACTGACATTCTCTTTGTCCAAATGTAGTGACATTCTCTTTGTCCAAGTGTAGTGACATTCTCTTTGTCCATATGTAGTGACATTCTCTTTGTCCAAGTGTAGTGACATTCTCTTTGTCCAAATGTAGTGACATTCTCTTTGTCCAAGTGTAGTGACATTCTCTTTGTCCAAATGTAGTGACATTCTCTTTGTCCAAGTGTAGTGACATTCTCTTTGTCCAAGTGTAGTGACATTCTCTTTGTTCAAATGTAGTGACATTCTCTTTGTCCAAGTGTAGTGACATTCTCTTTGTCCAAATGTAGTGACATTCTCTTTGTCCAAGTGTAGTGACATTCTCTTTGTCCAAGTGTAGTGACATTCTCTTTGTTCAAGTGTAGTGACATTCTCTTTGTTCAAGTGTAGTGACATTCTCTTTGTTCAAGTGTAGTGACATTCTCTTTGTCCAAGTGTAGTGACATTCTCTTTGTTCAAGTGTAGTGACATTCTCTTTGTTCAAGTGTAGTGACATTCTCTTTGTTCAAGTGTAGTGACACTCTCTTTGTCCAAGTGTAGTGACATTCTCTTTGTTCAAGTGTAGTGACATTCTCTTTGTTCAAGTGTAGTGACATTCTCTTTGTTCAAGTGTAGTGACATTCTCTTTGTTCAAGTGTACTCACATTCTCTTTGTCCAAATGTAGTGACATTCTCTTTGTTCAAGTGTAGTAACATTCTCTTTGTCCAAATGTAGTGACATTCTCTTTGTTCAAATGTAGTAACATTCTCTTTGTTCAAGTGTAGTGACACTCTATTTGTTCAAGTGTAGTGACATTCTCTTTGTTCAAGTGTAGTGACATTCTCTTTGTTCAAGTGTAGTGACATTCTCTTTGTTCAAGTGTAGTAACATTCTCTTTGTTCAAGTGTAGTGACATTCTCTTTGTCCAAGTGTAGTGACATTCTCTTTGTTCAAGTGTAGTGACATTCTCTTTGTTCAAGTGTAGTGACATTCTCTTTGTCCAAGTGTAGTAACATTCTCTTTGTTCAAGTGTAGTGACATTCTCTTTGTCCAAGTGTAGTGACATTCTCTTTGTTCAAGTGTAGTGACATTCTCTTTGTTCAAGTGTAGTGACATTCTCTTTGTCCAAATGTAGTGACATTCTCTTTGTCCAAATGTAGTGACATTCTCTTTGTTCAAATGTAGTGACACTCTCTTTGTTCAAATGTAGTGACATTCTCTTTGTTCAAATGTAGTGACATTCTCTTTGTCCAAATGTAGTGACATTCTCTTTGTCAAATATAGTGACATTCTCTTTGTTCAAATGTAGTGACATTCTCTTTGTCCAAATGTAGTGACATTCTCTTTGTTCAAATGTAGTGACATTCTCTTTGTCCAAATGTAGTGACATTCTCTTTGTCCAAATGTAGTGACATTCTCTTTGTCCAAATGTAGTGACATTCTCTTTGTCCAAATGTAGTGACACTCTCTTTGTTCAAATGTAGTGACATTCTCTTTGTGCAAATGTAGTGACATTCTCTTTGTCCAAATGTAGTGACATTCTCTTTGTCCAAATGTAGTGACATTCTCTTTGTCCAAATGTAGTGACATTCTCTTTGTCCAAATGTAGTGACATTCTCTTTGTCCAAATGTAGTGACACTCTCTTTGTTCAAATGTAGTGACATTCTCTTTGTTAAAATGTAGTGACATTCTCTTTGTCCAAATGTAGTGACATTCTCTTTGTCCAAATGTAGTGACATTCTCTTTGTTCAAATGTAGTGACATTCTCTTTGTTCAAATGTAGTGACATTCTCTTTGTCCAAGTGTAGTGACATTCTCTTTGTTCAAATGTAGTGACATTCTCTTTGTCCAAATGTAGTGACATTCTCTTTGTTCAAATGTAGTGACATTCTCTTTTTCCAAATGTAGTGACATTCTCTTTGTCCAAGTGTAGTGATATTCTCTTTGTCCAAATGTAGTGACATTCTCTTTGTCCAAATGTAGTGACATTCTCTTTGTCCAAATGTAGTGACATTCTCTTTGTCCAAATGTAGTGACACTCTCTTTGTTCAAATGTAGTGACATTCTCTTTGTTCAAATGTAGTGACATTCTCTTTGTCCAAATGTAGTGACATTCTCTTTGTCCAAATGTAGTGACATTCTCTTTGTTCAAATGTAGTGACATTCTCTTGGTTCAAATGTAGTGACATTCTCTTTGTCCAAGTGTAGTGACATTCTCTTTGTTCAAGTGTAGTGACATTCTCTTTGTCCAAATGTAGTGACATTCTCTTTGTTCAAATGTAGTGACATTCTCTTTTTCCAAATGTAGTGACATTCTCTTTGTCCAAGTGTAGTGATATTCTCTTTGTTCAAATGTAGTGACATTCTCTTTGTCCAAGTGTAGTGACATTCTCTTTGTTCAAATGTAGTGACATTCTCTTTGTCCAAGTGTAGTGACATTCTCTTTGTCCAAGTGTAGTGACATTCTCTTTGTTCAAATGTACTGACATTCTCTTTGTCCA